GTAGTGGGTATAACTATATTTAGGTAGATGTGACGCAAAATTGGAAATCTCTACACATATCGTTTTAAACATTTTGCATCAATATTCATTATTTTATATGCACCTTACAATAACCACAACTGCACACACTACAAATTATCACATAAAATAGCGTCAAAGTAAAGATGAATAACAACGAAACCAAGCAAACTGACAAACCGCAAACCTAACCTAACATAATACGAATTGAAACGACACACGGGAAACAAATAAACTCGGGCTGTTACGCGCAGTCTACGCAAGTCACGAACATACATTTTTTCTAGACTTGTGTTATAAATTTGCTACCACATTTTTTTTCTAATTATGTCTTTATATAATAAAGGCAAATGAACTAACGCTTGAGAAGGATTGGGGATTGAGAGCAAAATTTAACTAATGCCGAATGTTCTATAAGATAAGCAAAAATAGCAAAGGGTTGTTCGTCTGTTATGTTTCCGAGATCGAAAGGTAATGTTTCGAGTAATGTTTCAAACTCTCTTCAATTGTAACGTTTCGGCTATGTTTCACTAAATAAGTTTTCAAGTGCTACATTTCTGTAATGAAACAGAAACGTTTCTAGTTAATGTTTCAAATGTTTAGTAAAACATCTCATTTGCAACGTTTCATTTACGTTTCGTGTTTAGTGGGAATCTTTAAAAAGTAATTTTTTATCATTATTTTTTGCATAGGGGTAGTTTTTAAGGGTTAAATAAAGGGTCGAAAAGATTAATTATATCATAAAACATGCATGTTCGAGGACATGGAGCATTATTTAAACTTTGTGCTTGTACAAGATTTTTATCAATGAAATGCTTAAAACTTATTTTTTTCAATTTTTTCAGTTAGGGATAGTTTTTACCCCTGAAAATCAAAAAGCGTCAATCGGGCTTATGTCACTTTTGAACTTGAGCCTAAGATGAGCTTTATTCTAAATTTTCATGCAAATCCATGCAGTTTCAATTTCAAATAATTTGGAGGTTACAGCTGATTTTCTGCTTCAATGACTGTACTATATGTAACACCATAAGGTAGTAATAAAAAAATACGAAATTATTTTTATTATTGAAGAAAATAAAATAAAACAAAAAATTTAAAACATGTCAATGCCTATGTCTATTTTAATTGAATTGCTATGGTCGAGTAGTCGATCTGTAACACCTCCAGTTACATGAAAACGCTGCAATGTTTTTGAAACGGTTGATTCAGAAATACGTCCTCGATCGGATGCAATTCATGAAAAATATCCACTACTTCGTCACAACTTCGTCTTCTATCACCATATCCTATGATCATTAAAACTTCAGTACACTCGGTTTCACTTAAACGTGACAATTTTGCGACAAAATTATTCACATTAAATGTATTTTTGACATGTGTTGTCAAGGTAATCATTATTTGACAAAAGAACGACGCGGCGCGTTGTTATGGAGCTAGAAACTTTTAAAGGTAACTTGATGAATTATAGACTTAATCTAAACAAGTTAAAAACAATATCTCTTCCCAGTAGGGATCAGTTATTAAGTTTTCTTCAGGGTACAAGACAACCGACAGTACATTCAAAATAAGAACAAAAAACATATTTCTACCTGGTATGTTTATCTTCCGTTTCCTGAATTTTGCACGCATGTTGAACGTACACAAAATCGCGTACAGTTCAATAAACATAATCATCATAGCCCGCAGGATGTTTTTAGGAAACTATTAACACGTTAATTACAATTATTGAGTATTTTTACAAATTTGCTGGACAAAACAGGAACGGTTTTGCTGTGCTCAATCTAGTATTGTAAAAAATTAGTTAACACAAGGAGTGTGTGTAATACATATTCCCTTTTGCTTTTTTATGAACTGGGATTACGACTAGACTTATCAAAACATTTTTTTTCTAATGTATTTTTATCATTAACCACATGTCCACACTTTGCACGAACTAATATCTATCATAATACTCTACACTTTATACTTAAAAGGCCTTTGTGTAAACTAAAATGTGGGTAACTTCATTATGAATATCAGCAGTCACGTGTCATTTCAAGAGGATGAAAGCTGGTATTAATTTGCCTGAAGGGCCAATAAGAGAAAAAAAATATGTGTAATTCCTTCGTTTATAAAAATCTTTCTTACGTAAATTTAACATGTGTATCTAATCTAAACCTTTCAATTCTCATTTCAATTAATACAAAGCAGATTGGATTTATATTTATTTAAATTCAATTCACTTAAATTTTTAGTAAAATGTATTTAATTATAATTAGATATAAAAAACACTTGTTGTTCCTGTAGATATTTATATAATTTTTGCTACACGCATTCTTTTATCCGTTTACCATGAGCTCTGTTTATGCAAGTTCAAAGATTTAAAGAGCTTACCGATGTAATGAGCGTGAAAGCTAGTCACACAATACGGACAGACAGAAATGGGGTTTACTTTTGCATTTCTACATGGTTAGACCGTGAATAATGGGAGAGGGGTCACATAAAAAAGCAACCCTTTGAGGCTGGAGAGGCGTTACTTTTATGTATACGTCTATTGCTCGCTCTCTGATTAATGGCCTACATACTTCATGCATTACAGTTTGCACTGTTTAAAGTTTAACCGTTTATCATAAATTAGTAGTCAGTTTTTTGCAGACGCAAACGGATTTTTGTTAAGATGTTAGGTATATGAAATATAATTTTTCATGTTAAATTACATATATGTATTGATATATCGCTAATTACTAAATGCTTTTTTAAGGCAATTTGTTGTGAAATTTTTAAATTCATACCCAGGCCTATCTACCACCTAACTTTAGTTACAGAGAGCATACCGAAAAAGATTTCTTTATTTACTCGCAATTGATACTGCTAGTGCAATATAGATGGCGCTGCCACACAAAGAAGGAAAGAGAAAGAGCAACCTAGTTATGTTCTGTTCCTGTAGATGTCGCACACAAACGTGTTAGAAATGGAAATGGCGCTAAATAATTATCAAGTTAAAACTTCCTACTCGTTTATTGTTGTTTGTGTAATTATGCCAGTGATATTTATAAACATTTTAAATTATTAATTGACTATGTATTGTGCTCACTTATGTGTTATGGTGTTATGGTAAGTCACAATCACGTTTTGCTTGGGGAATTGATTTTTAGTTTTTAATATAGGTTATATGTTCCTAACTCCTTATATTTCAAGTATAATAATAGATTTAATTAGCAATTTTCATTTTCATTACATCTTTGTTATATGATTTGGGCATTTTGTGCTATAGTGAATAATTACCTCTACTTCTAATATAAAAATACTTACTGTGAAGAAGCCAAACTTTATCTTTAAACTGTTCTTTTATGAGGTGCAACAAATCGAGTACAATTGCACGCAACAATTGTAAATAAATAACAGCCAGTAAACGACAAATTGTTTATTAAAATTAATAAGTAAAACAGAAACATGAATACATAGTAATTACTTGCATTTAAATTACTTATATTTACAATAAGTTGTTGGTATTTATACTCCTAACAGGGGAGTGAAAAACTGGTGGTGGGCTGTACAACATTACATTACATCGTGGTTTTTCTTTACAATTAATTATATTTTAACAGTGTGACAATGTAACGTTAAAAGTCTAGGAACACTTAATTTTGCAAAATGTTACACAGAGAGTGTCACACAATATGTACCACTAATAGTATTATGAATGGTGCCAAATCAAAAATATGCACGTCGTATCGGAAATCTATCGAGTACATTCACCGGCGTGTACGCCGTGATGTATAATTTGTAATTTTTCGTAGTATAGAATTGTAAATATATTTTTTATAAGTGCAGTTGACGAGACGTTGCATATTTTTGATCGTGCTCCCACCGTCAGGGCAAACGTAAAGAGTCGAACAGTGACGTGTTTAGGTTTACGCTGACGTGCGTGTATATCTTACCCAGAGTGTTAATTTTTCCGATATAAATATGTGTATGAATAGACATATATTTTGTTACGAGATTCCCTGATACTAATACATGTTTTAAAACTGTGTAGTCGTTTGTACTTGAAAGTTCCTGAGTTTATGTCAACATCTAGGTAAGGTCCGTATAAATAATACAAAAACTATTTAAATACATACTTTTTGTACTAATTTTTTTCTCTTAAGGGTGAAGCGGTCTGCTCACACGTCAAATTTACGCTTGAGGTAGATTTTGTATTTGTACTGAAATTTTTCCCAACAATTAGTGATCATATAAATAGGTAACAGGCAACAATTAAATCCAATGTTTCATAAACATTATTCGAGTGCCACTATTTACAAGCATCTCGCCAGCAAGCCAGAAATAAACGGCGCACTTGCTGCACGTTTTACGCACGACCGAGCTTACTGTATTTATTGCCAAAAATTATTTGTACGGATGTACAACCTTTCGTAACGTTCCACGTCCAAATCCGCTTCGGGTGATCCTATGCCTACCCGTTTACCTTCCGTTTTGCTGGCAGACTTATGTGATTTTTTTTTACATATAACAATCATACATCCACGAACACATCTTATAGTAAATATTTTTCTTCATGAATGTAATCCTAACTATTACAGTTAATAAATAATGAATCTTTTAAACGTCCTGAACAGTTCCTGAGATTATTGCAGCTATATGTGACAAAAACGTTACATTATATTCCATGTTTCACACAACATTAACATTGCATTGCCACTACTCTATTTTACTCGTAATACGAATCCTAGTGCCTTGGACCTAGAAATTTTGAATAGAAATGATCCGTCTTGTTGTTAATTTTATAATTCGCTGAAGAGTAGAGAAAAGAAGCTTTGTTGATCGAACCTAAAATTGATTTACGCTATTTTTAGAGACAAAACTGGTAAATTTAGTCGTTTTCTGGGGCAGTTTCTATTAGAAGAGACGTAATTTAATAAAAATTAAGCTTTTCCAACAGTGCTAGGATCCATAAACCTTAAAGCCAGGTCATTTTCTTTAATAGTAATGCTCTTGCAGAACTGCATATATGCATATATATAGACACCTGTTATTAATCACTATTTGAATAAAATTGTCAAAAACCACAAGTTCTCAATGAAATTGTCAAAAACTATGCAGAATAAAAAAGTATGTATTTTATGACGTCCCTATCTATGTCAAATTTTCATCCTAAACGATCATATCGCAATTTTTCACTATCCCAAACCTAATTTACATATGTTTCGCAGTGCCATCACCAAAAAAAAAATGTTAACCATGTCAAAATCCTCTCCAACGTCCAACATGTCAAGTAATTATCGCACATCTTGTGATTATAACAAATTAATAGAATTGATTTTTCTCTCGAATTAATAAAATATTTACACTCAATTAAACTTAAACTTAGAAGCATTAAAAAATAAACTTTTATAACCTAAGGTTGTAAACATCGAACCCTGATGCCTCAGAATAGATTAAATCTATGATGATCAATAAAAATTACCCGTTTCAAAAATGATTTATAGCAAATGTACGTTCTCGCAGGCGTACCCGTCGACCGGACAATACAAGAAAGCGTATCACCCATACAAATAAATATAATTACAAAAAGAATCTTTGATGTATTGTTCGGTCGACTATTCACAAACATTCATCCACTTAAAACTAAACCTTATTTCAACGAGGAAACACCCAGGAGCCTTGACTGCGAAAAAATTAATCCCGATTATAAAGATTTTTAATAAAACTAAATTCTGATTTGACACCACAAAAACCGATGGAAATATAAAATGAATGGTCTAGGCTTCTGGATCGCCTCGCTCGTTTTGAATTCTCACACTTTCAGAAAACAAATTATCAAAGACATTATAAAGAATCCAACCTAACTTCATCCCATGACGTAATAATTCTCCTGTGAATCCCCAAGTTTGTGCCGAATTGTTGTCCGAATGACATATTTTTCCCTGACTTTCCGCAATGACATTAGGTTGTAATTTTTCATAATCGTCCCTATCAGATATTTCGGCCGTCCGACTTTTTTATGAAAAAAATCGGACGGCCCTCGAGATATATTTCCACTAACACCTGACCTGAGACAAGCGGAACTGGCAGTCCGTAAAATATATTGCGTTATGCAGTTATTTATATTAACATTTGTACTATATGCTTTGCTATATATTTATAAATGTATAACAATGAAACTATCATACACTGTATATACTCTTAACTATAAAAAAATAAATAATCGTGAAGTTTGTCATGTAATATAGAGGTAGTTCGGACTAAAAAAAAAGAGTGAAACCTGCATGTCGAGACCTTTTAGCTTTCCGTTTCTATGAAGGGGGGGAATACTGTAAATGAGGTAGACTGTTCCTGTGTATTTTTTTGCGCTACTGTAACCTGTTATGACTAGTACTTGCTTATAAATTAATATCTATTTGGTTTATACGTACGATTTATATTATATGGCAATCGGTCAATGAAACATCCGTTTTTTAAACTATATAATAGGCTTAAATATATACTTTTAAAAAATATATCAATCGACACAATCAGGGTTCATTTAGCATGGATTGATATCTCCAACTGCTTAAATATAAATGAAACTTTAACATTATTTGAGCTAGCAAAAATAATAGTGCATGACGATTCCCAAAAACGACCGTCCCAATGAAAATGCTAAAAATGGAGGAATTTTGCGAGTTTCGCTCATGGCGTATTATCACAATGAATATATTTACAAATCGGGGAAAGCCTAAAGCAATTTATTAGAAACAAATATGTTAGTAATAGTTGCCTGAAGCAATATTAAAATTAAATGCTATGGAAATGGAAATATTGCATGATATGAAGACCACAGGGGAAAAGGGAGGTTTGTCACAAAATACTAGTTTAGAAAATTAATTTTTCGTTGATTGATAAGATATATGGGATCAATATTTTGTATTAGTTTTAGCCAGTGGATAACATTAAATAGATGTGAATCCTGAAACTATTGAGAAAACAGTATTCTCAAGAGATAATGAACATTATGAATTTCTAAGAATGCCTTTTGGATTGAAAAGTGCCCCTCCATTGTTCCAAACCATGAATTACAAAGTTACAAAGTTAAAAAGCAAATAAATTCAGTGAAGATTACAGAAAATCTCATGAAAAATGATGCCAGATATATTTCCTACCCAACATAATATGTAACCTTTTGGACAAATTAAGATGGGATCAATATTTTGTATTAGTTTTAGCCAGTGGATAACATTAAATAGATGTGAATCCTGAAACTATTGAGAAAACAGTATTCTCAAGAGATAATGAACATTATGAATTTATAAGAATGCCTTTTGGATTGAAAAGTGCCCCTCCATTGTTCCAAACCATGAATTACAAAGTTACAAAGTTAACAAGCAAATAAATTCTGTGCAGATTACAGAAAATCGCATGAAAACTGATACCAGATATATTTCCTACCCAACATATGTAACCTCTTGGACAAATTAGCATGGGATCAATATTTTGCATTAGATTTAGCCAGTGGATAACATTAAATAGATGTATGTGTATCCCGAAACTATTGAGAAAACAGCATTCTCAAGAGATAATGAACATTATGAATTTCTAAGAATGCCTTTCGGATTGAAAAATGCCCCTCCGTTGTTCCAAACCATGGAAGGTTTACCCCACAGATGTCTTATATCGTTACAAGAACAATTGAAGTGGTGCCATTCTACAATGAAGTTGTTTTTATAATAAAATATATGGGTTTGTCTACTAGATGGCAGTGCCAAGGGATATATTGTGGACAACACATTTTTCTCCTGTTGTCTTCATATGTCATGGTGTATTTTCTACAGAGGAGACTGAAAATCTCTATAGTTTAAATATGTGGAAACTGGATTATAGAAATTATTGTATAAGTGACTGAAGTTACCATTTTTTGCACTTTTATTGGGAAAAGTAAACTAAAAACTTGATTCGTGAACAAAACAAAATTCATTTCCTATTTAAAAACCGAGCAGCAGAATTTCGCACGCACTATCATTCGAAAATAAACACGTTATCGCGGGTCTGACCCGCTACTGAGCTGTTCAGATATCTTAAAGCTTAGAGATATAGACGAAAAATGTGAGTAACATCTTCAACGCAATGAAAAAATATATTCTTGGATTTGCGTGTATATTACCTGAGTTTAATACGAAACTTAAAACTAGATTATTGTTTTGTGTTGCACTAATGACTAGCGGATACTAACTTGATAAAAAAATCCTGAGGCAGAGTAGTTACAATTGAGGTAGTTCGCGGCCCCTCTTGGGCCATTTAAAGTTACTCCTTACTTAAACCTAATGGGAAAAATAACCATCTTTAAAAAATATAATAAGTACAAACAAAAAAAATATCTCCTATAACCGAAATAACAAAATGAAAATGAATTATAAACGGCAACAGTTCCCTAAAAACTAGAAACTAAAAAAAATAACAAGCTGAACACAAATTTCAATGTTACTCTCTCGGCCGAAGAAGAATGGGAACAAAACAAGTCCAGCTTGGTTTGTCGAAACTTTTTCCGTCTCCTTAAAGGTTAGTCTTTAACTAAAGTATAAAAAATGACACGTACCATATTTTAAGGGTAACAACACAGACAGTAGTCATGAATTTCCGAGACGGCCGGGACCTGCCCTTGAGAATATATTATATTTACATCAGATCTCGGGCGGCGGGCCATCCCGAAAAGCGCACCGAACGTCGTTCTACTTGCTGCTTACGGGTTGTGGTTCAACGCCTGCTGTTGCTGCTGCTGCTGCTGTTGTTGTTGCTGCTGCTGCTGGTTCTGCTGGAACGCCTTGAGGCTCAGCTCGGCCTTGTGCTCCCGCGCTATGTGTCTCCGCACGGTGTTGTTGCGGGTGAAGGTGCGGGAGCAGAACGGACAGGGCACCCTGATGCCCTGGTGCCGCTGTCTTATGTGGGCTCTCAGGTTGGTCTCGTAGCCGTACAATCTCTCACAAAAAGGGCACTTCAATTTCTTTCCTGAAATATAGAACGGTATTATACAAAAAAGAGCAAAGTATCAAATGATTGTTCAAAGTATTAAAGGGCATATACTCCAGTGCCGGAAGAAATAATAAATAAATCTCTGACGCCGGACCGGACTAACAGTTGCAAGCGACAAGAAACAGACGAAAATCTGCAACGCCGGACACACACAGGAAAAAGACCACGGCACATTGGCGCCAAGGACCAGATACTTATACCTGCGAGGGACTCCACACCACGACGAGTCTCCAACACTCGTCCCGACAACATTTCTTTTCACTGCACTTTTGTTTTAAATAAAAAATACCTTTTATTTGCCGTTGAGAGAGAGTTTCATTTTGCTGTACAGCCAAAGGAACCCTCAAGTCAAACCATAATTTCTACCACTTCTAATATGGTGAAATAATTTTGTGTGTTCTCTAGAATGTTATGAAATGTAATGTGCAATTCGTGTCGCATAGTGTTCCAATAATTCGTTCGGTCTGAGATGATCTATAGTTACTAGTGCTGGCAAAAACCGGACAAAAGTGAAACCGGTTAACCGGGTTCCGTAAAAACCGATTTCAGATAAAACCGGTTAGTCGAATAGTTGCTAAAACCGGTTATTCGAATAACCCATTACTTGAATCGCCAAAACCGGATACCTGAAAATCGGTGCTTTACAAAGGCAGACCCGGAGAAATTGTCTAAAAAAAAATACAAAACTCTTTACAAAAATCTGGAAGTCGGTCAATTGCAATCGAACAAATCGATGTCTAAAAAAAAGGGAAGTAGATCATCGAATAATCGGATATTTGAAGATTCGAATAACCGAATAACCGGTTTTCGTCGAATAACCGAATAACCGGTTTTCGGATATTTGAAGAATCGAATAACCGAATAACCGGTTTTCGGATTTCATAAAAGTTCGAATTATTCGAAACCGGTTAACCGACTATCCAAAAAACCGATTTCAGTTGCCAGCACTAATAGTTACAGGCAAAAGGAGAGATGATTGATTTCTCGAAACCTTATCCTTTCTCAACATTCAAATTGCAAATGCAGAAAACGGAGATGAGACAAAATTAAATGAATTTTTCATTACTTACTAAAAATTAGATTAAGAGTATTTAGAAAAAATGATAGTCATGCATTGAAGAAATTTATTATTTTGATAAAACATGAAATGACGGTCATATGGTTTCAAAAGTTGGGAAGATTTAAATATCTTCAGCAGATGAGAAGCATTTTTTTTTTAATTTATAGGACTTTCTGGGAAGGGATTATCTGAAGTGAATGCCGATTTTTCGGATAATACTATTCAAGTCGCAAAAAACAGAAAGAGTACCACAAAATAGTTTGCATATATTTTGCCTCATTTGAATTTGGTATAGTGATTGCCATGGATAGTGCGCCTTACCATGATCGAATAATAGAAAAATTGTCAATATTTACAAGGAGAAAAGGGAAAATCATGGTGTTGAGAATTATCACTGCTTACTATTTTGACACTGGAGTATACGTGAATTAATATTACTCGTAAGACACAGTATTTTTAAATCACGGAGTGCAACAAACCAATAAATTAAAGAGAACGTTTCGTTTACTCACCATCGGGCGTGTTGACAGTTCCGGTCTTGTGGGACAGCTTCCCTGCGACCGTGCTCCACAGGGGCAGGAGGTCCTTGTCCCTGTCATGGTTGTAGTTTGTTTGCGGCCCGATGGCCCCGTTCGCCGCCTTCCCTCCGCCGCTGTTGAGCATGTTGCCGCCGCCACTACCACCGCCTGCGGTACTGCTCGGCGGCTCGTCCTGTTGCATTCCCGGCTCCATCTTCATTCGCAAATCTGCAAGAAGGCGCAAGTTATTACTACGAACACAAATAAGGTTCACGCGGAATATTCCTGGACAGGTCTTACAAAGTTTAACACCAGGTAGAACTCCCCAAAACAGTAAAAAAACTTTCCATGTCCGATGATTCGTATTAAGGGTGTTACTCCCTTCGAAAATATTGATTGGATTATTTTCTTTTATTAGTAATAGACAACAGCGGAAAAAGAGAATTCAGAATTGTGGTTGATTACAGAAATCTAGATGGAAAAATTGTATTTTGGACAAATTAGGACGGGATCAATATTTTACAACATTAAATTTAGCCGGTGGATAGCAATAAATGGAAATGTATCTTAAAGATATTGAGAAAACAGCATTCTCAACAGGTAACGGACATTGCGAATTTCTGAGAATGCCGTTTGGATTCAATAATGCTCCATCTATGTTCTAAACTATGAATTATGTTCTATCAGGTTCACACCATAGATATTTTACAACATAGTTACAAAAACTCATTGAACATTATGAGTTTGTTAGAATGTCTTTTGGATTAAAAAATTGGACGTGTATCCTGGACCTTTTTTACTATTTTGACGAGCTCTATCGGCTGTTAGAGTTTGTAACATCCAACAAGTTATATTCTGAACTCGCCACTCACCTTCTGGACATCCTGGGTCCTGGCACCTGTCGGAGGTGTTGCTCTCTGGGCAGATGAGTGCCGTGGCCTGGTCGGGATCGAACCTGTTCTCGGACGGCGCGTCGGCCTCTGGCTGGCCTGGCAAGTTGGAGGAGGAGGAGGGCCTGTAGCCGAGCGATAGTGCCCCCGGCGACCCGGGCCGTCCGACGGCCTTGCTGCCGTCCCTCAACACCGACGCCCTCACCGACTCCTGCAGGATCTCGTTGGGGCTGCGCAGCGGCCGCTTCTCGAAGTTGCCGCCCGCGTTCTGCATACGCTGGTCGTATCTGTAGTGGTGGGGGTGCATGTAGGGCGACGACACCGTCGGCGAGTAGCTGGGGGACGGGCTGGACTGGTGGTGGCTGTTGGAGCCGTTGTTGTCTAGTTCTTCTTTCAATACCTGGAAGTAATGCGGGTGAGATGGAATTGCTACTCAATTGCCTGCTGGAACAGGGCACTGCTTTGTGTCTATTGGTAGAGAGCAACCTAGTATTCTGTAGAAAGGTTGGTTTTATAAGCTAAGCTAATAAATAAGTCAAGGTAAGGATTCACGCTTGCCCAGGCCACGCCTCCCTACTAAGAGAGATCTAAATATACGATTTTTAAATGTTCACTATTTTTCGCGCCCGCCGAATTCGCATTATAGTCGCTGGCAACTAATTTGCGCAAGCCTCCAAGCTTTTTACTAGAGCCTATAGCCACCTTCCATCTCTTTAACAAGCGGATCTTTCAATATAGCCCTTCTTTTCTACCAACTCAGCGCTCGCAGTTCACATTTCAAAATAAAACTGGGCAATATCAACAATTGGGTGGACTGATAATACAAATCAGTAAGGAAAATACACTTTTTATAAATATAATTATGTTATATGGCGATAAAGTACTTTAACCTTGAACAAGTCTATGATATTATAAAAACGAGTAAATTTTTCAGTTTTGCCAAACTGGGCCAGTTCGATCATCGTATTCGGTAAAGAGCTCATATATTTCCTTTTGTTTTTTTTTTATCCCAGAAAAGTGTATTCGATATATTACTTTGATTTTTAAATTTCCACGATGAATATGAACGAAAATGTTACATTAATACACATTATGTTAAATAATACACGCATATGTTTAGTTTTAAATTTATGAATACACGTAAAATATATATTTGACGATTTTGACAACCATATAACTTCTTCGGAATTATATGCTGAATTATGGAATAAAGAATATCTGTAACAGGAACGCTACTGGTTGTCACTACGTCTCTAAATTAGATTAAACTTTTTCAAATACGTGAAAAAATATTTGGCAGATGTTAAAATCGCAATATTTACATATTTTTTTATACAAATAGTTTTTTCGGTTGATAAAGAACTGTGACCTTGAGCAAGTCAGCCATATTGAAAAGGAGTAGATTCTTCTATGTTCTGCTGGTTTACGAGATTTTAAAATTTCTTAGGGAATTTCTTATCGGTATTGAAAATTAAATGTATAAAATGAATGGTCTCTTACAGCTGTCGTACTGGATATTTTTCTTAATTGATCTATATATTATGATTGTCTTTTATAAATGTTTCGAAGCCGTAGATTGTCTCGTTACGTTCATCGCACTTTATTCATAAACTGCAGAAGCTTCAAAATATGTGCCATATGTTCCCAAACGTGAATATGTGTTATGTAGCAATACGCCTAGTGTCGAAGCGGATTTAGATAAAGGCGAGAATATTTTGCCGGACTAGGTGGTAACTATAAAGGCATTAGTACCCGTTTGGCAGGTCCTATAGAATTATAATGTACGGCTGACCCTGAACCAGGAGCGGTCAAGTAATTTTTTTATTAAAGGAAGTGCTGAATATTTCATTATTATTGTGATCCTCACCTTACATAACACGGGCATTTTTATGACCACGAAATACGCATCGAAAATAATTTTCCTGTTTAAAAAACACGATTAATATGTAGATTTCCTTTGGGCGCCGTATAAATACAATTTATCTCTCGCATCTACGGTATCTGCACCTGTTGTTTTGAGACACAATAAAAAAAAATTCGAAGGCAATCGTATTTACTTGATACGAGTATAAAAACACTATTTTCGAAACTGCGGCGCGGGTAAATTCGACTCGAGACGAGGAGAAAGTGGCTAATTCGACTGACTTAAAATCTACAGAGAGCGCAATACTAGCATTGTTTCCTGAATATATTAAAAATAGTAAATGCTTATGATTATGTGTATACTTTGTTTTGATGCTGTCTGATAGATATATTTATCTCTGAACGATAGTATTTTTATGATCTGTTTTTATAATCTCAATGTTATCTAAATAATTTGAGAAAGTTGACAACAATATGTACAAGTTTTTATAATTAATAAGATATTACTAAACTCCTTAGACATTTTCCATCACCTATTATCTTGAACTTTGCTAATAAATACTTAAATAGCAAAATAATCTACAGTTCTGATGACATGATTTTTTAACATTAATTGTACTTAAAATTTGAAGGTTCTGGTGCTGTTCTGTACGTATAATAATAACGGAAAGAAAACTTTTTTGCCTCTTCTGAATAATTAACATATCGACGCTTATTATTTGTCGCACATGAGTGTTCGTCATCAGCGACGACATCGTTTTAAACACCCCGCCGTTGAATGAAGGCCGAGATCTTTTTCAACGCATTCACGCACACCCACCTTGAGATGCTTCCTGGACGACTCCAGGCTGGTGTCCATGGGGGTGACGCTCTGCGCCACGGCCAGCTTCTCGTGCTCGATGCTGAGCCCCTTGACCTGCAGACATTCGGCCGCCTTGAGGAAGCTGGACAGGGAGTCCTGGGACACGTGCACCTCCCCCTTGTACATGAACTCCAGCAGGGCGGACATGTTGGAGGCCGACGTGCCGTCCAGGATAACCAGCAGGTTCTGGTGCAGCGGCGCCGTCTCGAACAGGTCGGCCAGGTGTTTGCTGCACGCCGCCAGGATCAGTTTGTGTGCCTTGAAAGTCACCCCTGCAAAAAAACAACGTTTTTTAACTAATTAGGTTCGATGTAACGGTTCCGTTAAGGAACCCTGGGGGTGGCAGTGGCGTTAAAGGAGCTAGTCGGCCAGTCTGTGAAATTTGTCATGCCCACTACGTGTCTCGGCGGCCGGGGAATTCGGTGAGTCTTACTCGAACATTACAAATAACCGTTTTCGAGACTCTGCCGGAAAAATAAGTGGGCGAATGGCCGTACCCGTCCGCTATCACGCCAAGAGGAAGCGTGCTTTCCGTCTCTCTCTCTCTCCGGCTGCAACGGAAGATCGGAGCTTGTTTACAGTTGTATGCACTTGACCCAGTGACACGGTTTCGGCGTTATGCAGTTTGTCGGTAATCGCAGGCTGCTCGAAATAGATAAACAGGTTGGGCAATATTTACTTTCGTAAAGTCGCGCGACGTTGCCTTGGAGCGGCGCGCTATTTTCGAGCCGTTTCGAAATCTCGATTGAGAATTGGCTTGACGGACAGGTTCGTGAAAAGCGAATTTGGGGAGGTCGCCGTAAAGTGCACATTTATGAATTAAATGTATGTCTACGTAAGAACAGAAAATGGAACTCTGAACCATAAAATATTCTCTAGGATGACGTCGTACAGTGTTTTTGATGTAAAATATTGTATATATGTGTTTCGTTAATTATTCTAAAAACATTAGTGAAGGCAAAAAACAATGGTGGCTCTAGATCGGAACCGTGAGGAACTTCGTAAGTTTCCAGATAGTCACTTAACTATAAAAACAACTATATTTTGGAAAGTATGGAACAATTGAAGAATCTTAAAATAAAAACACTTGAAAATTACTTATTCAAATAACTCTTTAGATATATTTTGCTGGAATAAACCACAACCACAAGGTAAATATAGTGTTTTTTTCTAGAAACAAATATTAGTTCTTACTAGTTCTTCTCTATAACTAAAAAAACAACGTATTTTTAACTCGATTTTTAACCAAATTTCTTCTTAAAAGCAAACCGAAAAACCGAGCTAAGAAAAAAAATTATATCTTTTCATCAAAGATCGCCACGGTAGCGCAGTCGGTCGAGAGTGCGGTGGCAAGCATTTCTCGGCTAGGCTTCCTACTCTGGTCCGGGTTCGATCCCCGGTGTCGGCACTGGCAATGTCGATGAATAATAGGTGTTTGTCCGCGTTTTTTCAAGTGTAGCCCCCTTCCGCACAAGCCTTTGGCTTTTGGATTTGGGGGTTGTCTCATTTCTGTAGTGTGTTTTATGTTTTTTTTTATGTTTATCAGCTTCTGTTGAAAGCAAAAATAAGTCCAATTAAATGGACCTTCAAATCGCAATATTGGTCAACCTGCCTGAAGTTAGTTTAAGGTCTAACAATACCCGACAGTAATTTTTTTTAACCCCCGGCCAGGGGTGAAAAAAGATAAAGGATTTTTCAAGATTTCAAAAGGGGTAAAAGCTAGAAAAAAGTTTCTTATAAAGTAAAGCATAAAATTCTACATTGAAATGGTCTATTGACTTTTTCTTGTACTATTAAAATTAACAGGGTTAGGGAGACTAGAGCTTAAGGGATGATTTAAGAAATTTAAAAATCATAACAAGCTGAAAAATTAATGAATTTTATTTTTTTGCTTCAATTTTCTCTAAAAAATATGATATCTTCTCAAAGAAATAGATACATTTTTTAGTTTTTAATAAAAAAGTTATAACAATTTCATTTTTTATTAATCGTTAATGTTTATGATTTAACACTAAAACAATTTGTTTCTATATTGAAAATAAAATTATAAAATTCATTCATTTTTCTGTTTGTTTGATTTTTTAAATTTCTGAAATCACCCCTTAACTTCTAGCCACCCTAACTGTTAATTTTATTAGTACAAAAAAAAGTCAATGGACCATTTTTATGTAGAATTTTATGCTCCACAACTTTTATAAGGAACTTTTTTTTCTAGCTTTTCCCCCATTTGAGTCATCTTGAAAACCCCTTTATTTTATCTTTTTTCACCCTTGGCAATGCACCCATGAAAATTACTGTAACTTATTGTTATTATACAGGGTGTTTCACGATTAAGTCGATAAACTTTAAGGAGATATTCCTCATAAAAAAGTAAGATCAAAATCAAGTATAATTTTTTTTCCAGAGGCTTCATTTCCGGAATATAGGGCATTAAAGATTTTAAAAAAAATTCGAATTTTTTAAATAATTTTGTTCATGCCAAATTTGGCTTAAATACCCTTCTTCATTTAGAAGTTATTTAAAAAATTCGATTTTTTTTTAAATCTAACGCCCTATTATATTTCGAAAATGAAGCGTCTGGAAAAAATTTATACTTGATTTTTTTCTTATTTTATTATGAGGAATATCTCCTTAAAGTTTGTCGACTTAATCCTGAAACACCCTGTATACCCCAAACTAATTTATATCAAATATTCAGACAAGTTGACCAAAATTGCGATTTAATTGGACTAAATGGTGTGATGATTTTTTTAAATAAGATCTAAAGATTATTTTTTAAATATATGTATAGTAAATATTGAAATATTCAAATATTGGTTGCACGCTAAAAAGTACCATTTTTATGGATTTATACTCACACGTTTAGAAAAAATTGAATATGTTCGTTTTAGGTTAAGATTTATAAATTTGAGGTTATGTTTTGGGACTAGAATCATGATTTAGGAATATGTTTAATGTTTATGATTTTTTTTTTGTTTGGCAGCCTTTAGTACATAATTTTCCTTTTTTTTTTTTCATTTTTAGATACCGAATATATCAAACTTCGAATGATCGAGTTTGAGGCTAGAGATTACTTGGCCATTTTGAAAAAATTTTAGGCATATATTCCAATTACCTCACCGGAACTTTATAGTACAGGTAATTTCGGAAAGAATAAAAAAAAATCAGTACTATTTGATTAGTTTTGACGCGTGGCTTGAATTTTTTCCAATATTTCCCACTGTGCGATAATATTGTTAAAATTAATATTTTCATACAAAAAACAAAAAAAATCAATTTACAGAAAAGTGTTTTCATTTTTTCCAAATTTTTCTGGGAAAGAACCATTTTTTTCCAACGCCCAATTTCCCCTTTCTTCTTACTATATAAAAAGTATTCACAGTTTATTTTCCAGTAAATTTCATATGTATATCACAAAACATTTCTTAATTCCTATATCCGAGTGTGCTATATTTTATTTAGACGACCTTGTACAGGCATAAGGCACAAATAAATAATTTTAAATGGGTAAGGGGTCAAAGCTAATATGTCCCTGATCTAATGGCGACCAATATACCCAATAAAATTAATTCTGCTGCAATAGTTGAGGTTTTTAAATATCACCGAGTTGGGAAAACAGTAACAACTAATAACCTTACGGGTCGAAAATATCGTATTATGAAAATGTATGACATTTAACAGGAATTAAATGACGTCAAGACATTCACCTTTACTGTTTACGATTCACATTTATATGTTATTCCTTATATTCGTACAATTTTTGTATATTTGCTTTAAAAATATAAGTTTGGCAACGTCGTTTACTTTGACAGATGACATATTACGTCGCGGCGTTTCAGTTATTTTGTTAGAAACTTTTTCTTTGTCACCTTTGGTGCCCCTAGCGGCTAAGCGAAACAACTTACGATAGAGGTAAGTTTGTGGTAGATTCATGTATACGAAATAATGGTACATTCTGTATATATTTATCTTTTATTGAATTTTATGAACAGAAACCGATCGAAAAGCCTCATTTAAAGGGGACGGCGCTGTACTACTCGTAGCTATTCATTAATTTTTCCCGGTTGACCCCGGAGATTGGGCGGGAGCCGGCGAAATTAATGAACGTTCCGTATTCGAACAACATTCGCGACATCCTTCTGCGGAACAATTAATAAACTAGGCGCTATACTTCGCCTACGCGATCCGTGTGATTTATTTGCGAAGCGAACTTCCGTGGCCCGCGCGATTTATTTATAATCCCCGCGCAGAAATAGAAAGTAGAAGCGGTCGTTGGAATGCGTGGTGGTTCGGGAAATGTCTTGTTGGGATGCACATCCTGAAGAAAGTCGTCTGTGTTCGGGGAAGAAAGAGAAATTGCTTTAAAAGATAATACGAATGAAAAGTATGGAAGTCAATGTCACTTTGGCTTGAAAAGATCTGTTTTTGATCTGACAGTGACAACAAAGTCGAATCGACAACATCGCATTTCGCGATATCTAGATATGGAGATTGAAGTGATTGCACAGAATTCGATTTTAGAAAAAAGCAAACGTACAAAAAGAACAAAATACTACAACGACAATTGGATATAGTGATAGAACAGGGAATCAAATGCCAAATTTGAAAATAATGCAGATACTTATGTGGCGCGAGCAGAGATATTAAGTAAACAAAAAAAAGGGAACCTGGGCTAAACAAATTTGAGTTATAACTCATTTTCTATGGTTTGGCAGTTGGTTCTGTGTTCTATCTCTAACATCATCCAATTACGAAATATTTTTTTTTTGTTGATTTGTTTTGTTGTGTTTGGCTGAATGTTGGCAATCCAGCAATCCTAAATACACAATCATAAATTTAATTTTGCATACCACTGTGAAGATTATCAACAGGCACATTTTTTCACCGAGAACTTCTCAAATATTTCAAAATCATGAAAGCTCAGCACATTTTGCTGCTTTCAAAAGTAAAAAAGTCTTAAACAAATATTTTTGCAATTTTTTTTTAAATAACTTCGACATTATAAGTAAGATACTTCAATGAAATTTGTTTTTTCGGGTACCAAACACGACTCTTCTTTTTTTTCTTTTTTACTTTTTAAAGAAGCAACATTGTATTAAAGTAACTTGATTTACAGCCAAGAAAGCTACCCTTGAAGTGTACCTCATCCGTTTCTTGACACCCTATATAAAATTTGTAGATGATTGAAATCACACACAAATATAAAAAAATTAAAGCATCGGTAAAAAGATTTATAAATAGAAGTTTTTCGTGTCTAGAAATGAGATAATAGGACGACTAACGATAATGAACAAATGTTCGGTGGCGACCGCTGAGCGCAGTGGTTGTTCGATCGGAGTGATTTTGGTGTCGTTGTATAGGTCGGATCTGTCTGCATCGAATATAAATGGCTCGGGCATTCCACTATTACGGGGGTATCAATGGTGAACTTTACATTTTGGCTATTTTTGTCAAATTCTGTCGATGTTTTCAAAGTGGGTAGGTTTTCGAAATACAAGGCGATTCCTAATTTTCGGCCAAAGTGACAAATCTAAATCCTTTTTTTTATTAGATATCGTCAAATGGTTCAAAAACTCTGCAGTCACTTTTCTGAAAACATGCCACAGTATTTGTAACATAAATATTCATTTATATCCCACTGATAAGGAGTTCTATTTTAACCATGATAACTACGTTCATTTCCAATATGCCAGAAGTTTGCTTCGTGGCGAATTATGTATTTTTTATATTACTTTTGCTACAGATTTACAAGCAAACATTATTATTATATGTATATATTTCTCCTTGACTGTTTATATGGTAATTAACGAGGACATTATTATCCTATAACACCCGTGATGCCTTCAGTATTTAATATCTTGTTAATCGGTTTTTTAATACGGAATTTATTTCACATGTTCCCTGATATGGCATTTGTTTAACAGTTACTCTGTATTGACATTAATAAATGTTACTTATAATTTCTATTACAGGCAACCAAAAATATTTGTTTGTAATAAGTTTTGTCACCAAATTAGATTAGTCTGCAAAGGTATTTAGCCTTTTCACAAATTTGGCCTCATGGAGCGAAATTGTATCTAAATCTTAAAACGGTTTTGCACAATCAAAGAAATTCATGAAGTTGACTTTATTAAAGAAATTACAAGTGTAGGCCAATAGGCCAATTTTTTTTATGAGTTTAAATATTTAATGATTTTTATCTTTTTTTATAAATGTCCTTTTAGCAGTATATACGTATTTAAATCAAAATGTAAGGAAGCGCTAATACAAAAAATTGTAGAAAGACTAGAGCCAGTTTTTACAATTTCTTTACACAAATACAGGCTGTTTCAAATTCGCTTCTCGGAAACGGTAAGAGCTACGAAGTAGCTTAAATGGGGGCAAAGTTGCGTAATCAGGGGACCAATAATATGCCTCTAAAAATCAAGGCTAACTTGATTAGTTTTCGAAATATTTGAGAAAAAGCGAAATTTTGGAAATCCGTTTTTATTTAATTTCAGCCTTGTTTGAGGAGATATTGAAAAACGAAGAACACTTTTTGCCCTCTATTCAATGGCATAATCAATTTTTATATGTAACGTTTCGTTTCTCCAAGACCATCATCAACTTCATTTTTTTAAATACGACCCTGGAAATTTTATTACATTTTTTGCAAGCCTTAATGACCCCCAATACTGTACTGCCTCAGCCCTAACCAGATTCAGACGTTTTGTCTCGAAAAATTCATTTTCAGTGTATTCGTTCCAAATTTATTTGAATTTTTTATTTAGATTTCTTTGTTTATTGAATTATCGTACACTGTACGTGTCGTTAGACCCTGTGAAATCCATCTAGTTATTTAAACTATTACCACCACGCGCTACAAATAGAACATTTATTATTACCTATTAACTATTACCATCACTTGGTCATACATAACTCAATAAGTTGTTGCGTCAAAATTAAAACATCGTTACAATTTTAATTTTATTATGACAAATTAATTCTTAAGAATGCATATGAACAACCAAAACGGCAACTGAATATTATTCTTTATAAAATTTCAGTAAATGTTCAAAAACATTTTCGTTTTGGGAAAGGTTAAAAATGAAGATCAGCATAATATTATCGGAATTTATTATATCTGTAACTGCAACTGTGAAAGAGCATGTCAGATGTATTTGTATGAATATCCTGAAAAAAATAGATCGGAATTTGTTTGAATTTTGAGCACTCGAGAAGCCTAGAAATAACTATGGACACGGGAATAAAACTCTAGTAATGTTTTATTTTAATGCGTGGTGTAATAGTTTGAATAACTAGATGGATTTCACAGGGTCTAACGACATTTACAGTGTACGATCATTCAATAAACAAATAAATTAAATAAAAATTTTAGATTTATTTGGAACGAATACACTGATCAATTTTTCGAGACAAAACGTCTGAATCGGGTTAGGGCTGAGGCAGTACAGTATTGGGGGTCATGCAGGCTTACAAAAAATGTAATACAATTTCCAGGGTCGTGTTTAAAAAAATGAAGTTGATGATGGTCCTGGAGAGACGAAACGTTACATATAAAAATTGATTATGCCATTCAATAGAGTTTTTTTTTAAATATTTAGAAAACTAATCATGTTAGCCTTGATTTCTTAGGGGCATAATGTTGGCCCCTGATTACGCAACTTTGCCACCATTTAAGCTACTTCGTACCTCTTACCGTTTCCGAGATCCCTGTAGTGAGAAGCGAATTTGTAACAGCCTGTATAACTATTGTCATTAATAAATTAACGACAAATGTATTACGCATACAATTAATTCAATGTGAAAAACTATCAATTTCTTTGATCGTGTGAAACTGCTGTTGTTTCTAAGTGGGTACTTACCATCACAGAATAGTGTCACGTCCGCTAGGCTTTCCGATTTGAAGAGGTTGCTGAATGAGGTAGCAAGGTTCGATCCGAAACTGTTCCATTTTAGACAGAATTGTTGTTGCTGAGAGTCCATCTCAACACCGGAATGGACAAAATTATGAGCTGCAACAAAAACGACGTATTATCCATCTAAAAATGAAGATACTACATATTTTATATCGCAAATGGCTAAAATATTATCCGTCATCTGGGCCGGACCCGGCCCTGTCCGCCGGTGCTAATCTTGCCCAACCAGCAAGGCTGGGTGAATGGAGAACGGCGCAAATATCACTTTTGTTCATCTGCATCCTTGCAGTGCTCTGCAAAGAATCTGTCGCTTGTGCGGCGTTTGTGGGGCTTCCGGCTCAAGAGAAAGATAAAATAGTATTCAAAAGAGACAAAGAACATGGAGTTATCTTTTTCACCTGCTTTCGTGAAAGAGTTATGCGCGTTTCGTACAAGTCGTGTATTTGTAGGAATCTCACCATTTACGTTGTTCGGTGGGATGTAGAAAAATGTGTGAAAAAAAAAACGTGTATATTATGGTATCAAACCAGTTATGTAAATTCGTACTTTAATCACCTGGCGAGGCGGATGAAAAAATAGCGTCAACTCATTCATATTTTGATTTCTGTTAATTGTAGGATCCTAGGAAGCTTTTTAAAAATACATGTTTTATTATTAACTCTAGCGTTTAGGGTTAATTCGAATAAATTCCAAACATGTTCCTAAATTTTATAAAATTGTAGATTGTGGTTTTACATTTTTTTTTCCTGTTTCCTTCAGGACTAAAACGTAGTTATGGAAAACTCAGTTCGATAATAAAAAATTCACGTGTAAGATAATAGAACTTTCTGGAAATTTTATCGTAACCGAGATTATTATTAACAAATCGATGTGGTTACGTCGATAAGAAATTTTTCGAATATTTTAGTTTATTTCATATGATTAATACGCAGCTTTAATTGTTTCATGGCCCGATATAGAAGAATTTTGTCGATTTACTCCATAACTTGCGTTTGTGTTTTCTGATAACGACTATCATTAAAATTCGCCCTTATATGAAAAATGACATGTTTGCACTAACTTCTTTAACAGAAATATACTTTTTTATTGTTGATTTTTCGAGAATAAGTTATTCTTGATAAAAAGTTTTGCTTATCTTGGGAAGCCGTGGGCAATAATCAAATGTGTAATACAGGGGGTTCAAAAAATTTCAAAATGTGAAGTTTTCCTTAAGCAAAGTGCCTTTAATTTTTGTTTTGTTAAAAACTGTATTTAACAAAGTTGTTCCAAAACTCAAGAAATGCGTAAATACGGGGTTTAGTCAGTTTTGCAAACAAGGTNCCTTTAATTTTTGTTTTTGTTAAAAACTGTATTTAACAAAGTTGTTCCAAAACTCAAGAAATGCGTAAATACGGGGTTTAGTCAGTTTTGCAAACAATGTGCGATTTGTAACTACGAGTATTAAAGCAGACAGAAATTGTAAAAAATAAGTTTTGCTTAAGTAAATCAATGTTATCGTTAAAATCGTTTGAATACATTTCTTGCTTTAGGTATCCCCATAAGAATTAATCTAATGGGGACAAGTCGGGTGCCCGTGCAGGCCAAAGTATTAGTTCATAGCGTCCGATCCACTTGCTCGGGAAGTGAACGTCAAGCCAGTTTCTCACTAGAAGTGTGGAATGTGCAGGGCATCTGTCTTGTTGAAATATTAGTTTTCTTCTGAACTCTAAATTTTTGCTTATAGTTCTGCCAAAACAAAGTTATTGAAAATTTTCCAATACGAATTTTGATTAAGATTTTCTTCCAAAAAGTAAGGAGCAATTATTTTATATTACATTATGCCACACCAGACATTTAATTTTTTAAATATTTGACTATTAGTTATCAATCGACAATTTGGATTATCTTTGTAGACCAGGGCGTATCTGTCGAAATATCCCACTTCTGGAATGTAAGAGGGGGCAAGCTAATTTTTGCTGGAATACCTTCAGTACAACTCACATAATATAAGTGTAGATCCCTAGGCCTGGGTGAGGTCCGGAACATTTTCAAAATTGCAAAACTTTTTAAAAAATTTTAAAAAATTCCTATTTTATCCGAGTTTTTTACTTATATCTTGGAACCTATGCATTATGGAAGAATATTGAAGAGGAAAAAAAGTTTTAGAATTGAATATTGCACAATATACCTACTGTAAGTTAAATTTTGAAAAATTTTTTTCGAATTTTCAAAATGTTGTACAGCCTCAAATAAAGCATCTAGATACTTGAAAATTTTTTCACATAGAAAAGACCGCTCAATCTTTCAAATGGTTTTTGAAAAATTGAATGATTAAACAATTAGATTACATTTATCAATTTGTAATTTAGTTTTTTTCAAAAATTATAATTTTAAAGTACTCAAAAAGATACTCCTTTAAAAAAAAGCTAAATTCCGTTTATTGGTTATCGAAATATAAATCGGTCAAAGTTTATCGGCATTTACCGTTAATTTATAAACAATTTAACAATAATCTTTGATCCAGTGGTTTTGTTTTTCCGAGTTCTAAGCTGCAAAAAATTTTTTCATATCCATAAGTTATCGTCAACACAGTTAAATCAGCAGAAAAGCTGTTGCTCGCACGCGTGAAAAAAATTGCATTATCTCTAATGGACCAATTTCGACCTTTTTTTTAATCCGATGTTTCGCGAGTCAAGGAATTCGAATATCGTATTTTTTTTTCAAAATTTTTTTCAAAAAGTTATATTGGGAAAACTAGAACCGATGGTAATGAAATTTGGTGTATTGTTTTATTATACTGTAAAGTTTTTTTACCAAAATTAGAATGACCTCGGAGCAATTAAAATATTTAAAAAAAATTATTCAAAAGACTTGATTATTTGCCTTTTTTTCATCAATTATTGCTGTTTTTCAACATCGGTAATAAATTTAAACATATTTAACTTGCAGTATAATGTGCAAAATTCAATTCTAAAACTATTTTTTCTCTTGAATATTCTTCCAAAACGCTTAGATTCCAAGATATAAGTAAAAAACTCAGATAAAAATAGGTATTTTTTAAAATTTTTTAAACATTTTTGCAATTTTGAGAATGTTCCGGACCTCGTCCAGATTTAGGGATCTACACTTTTATTGTGTGAGTTGTACTGAAGGTAATCCAGAAAAAAATTGCTTGCCCCCCCTCACATCCACCTCAAAACAGATCCGCCTTGTCTATTAGCCCAGTATCTACAATTTTGAGAGGAAACCACGTCATTACTTGTGAATGTTGATTCGTCAGTAAATAAAATATTGCGATGAAAGAATCTGTTTTCAGTNCGTAAATACGGGGTTTAGTCAGTTTTGCAAATAAGATACGATTTGTAACTACCAGTATTAAAGCAGACAGAAATTGTAAAAAATAAGTTTTCTTTAAGTAAATCAATGTTATCGTTGAATAAATTTTTTGCTTTAGGTATTCCCATAAGAAATAATCTAATGGGGACAAGTCGGGGTCTCATTGCAACATTTTGAATTTTTTTTTTTCGAATTTTCAAAATGTTGCACAGCCTCAAATAAAGTATCTAGATACTTGAAATTTTTTTTACATAGAAAAGACCACTCAATAAATCAAATGTTTTTTGAAAAATTAAAATTGGTTGATTAGGTTAGGACGGCCACAGTAAATTTTTAAAGTTAACAGTCTTTTTTTTATTTTTAAAAAATTAGATTACATTTATCAATTTGCAATTTAGTTTTTTTCAAAAATTATAGTTGTAAAGTACTATTTGTTCTTAATTTTGTCTGTATTTAACAAAAAAATTAATTTCCAAATGAATTTTTTTACCAAAATTAGAATGCCTCGGAGCAATTAAAATATTTTTAAAAAATTATCCAAAAACTTGATTATTTTGCCTTTTTTCATAAATTTTTCAACATCGGTAAGGATCGATCGACCTCTCGTTTTATTCGTATTTCGATTCTCTACAAAAAAAAAGTTATTTTGCGAAAACTACAGAACCGATTTTAATGAAATTTGGTGTGTTATTTTATTATACTCTAAAGTTTTTTTTACCAAAATTAGAATACACTCGGAGCAATTAAAATATTTTTAAAACTTGATTATTTTGTCTTTTTTGATCAATTATTTTGCAACATCTTTAATAAATTTAAACAGTTTTAACTTACAGTATATTGTGCAAAATTCAATTCTAAAACTTTTCTTCCTCTTCAATATTCTTCCAAAATGCTTAAATTCCAAGATATATGTAAAAAACATTTTTGTAATTTTGAAAATATTCCGGACCTCGTCCAGAGTTAGGGATCTACACTTTTATTGTGCGAGTTGTACTGAAGGTAATCCAGAAAAAAATTGCTTGCCCCCCCTCACATCCACCTCAAAACAGATCCGCCCTGTCTATTAGCCCAGTATCTACAATTTTGAGAGGAAACCACGTCATTACTTGTGAATGTTGATTCGTCAGTAAATAAAATATTGCGATGAAAGAATCTGTTTTCAGTCAGATTCTGGCCCATTGTTAAACAAAAGTTCAAACGATGACCGTCATCTCCATAAAGCATAACTTATGATTAAACACTGGTTTGAATGGATAGATTTTGTTGTATGTTAAAATTCTTCGAATATGAGATGTGCTAATATCAATGTTTCCTGACCTTTTCCTGAGTGACATTTTTGGATTGTCTTGTACAGCCTCCATAACTACAACAGTAGCAGTAGCATTGTTATCATTGTATTTTTTTATCTTTTTAATATTCTGAACATCACCAGTGGTATCGAATTTTATAATTAACTTGCGAACTACTCTACGAGTTACAGTTACGTTCGAATAATTTTCATTAAAAATTTGTATTGCATATCGATATGAAACAGTACTGATTCCATAACATTTCACAAGATAAATTCGTTGCTCCAGGGTTAGCATTATTAATAAAAATTATTCAGTGGGCATTTTGCTTAGGGAAAACTTCAAATTTTCAAATCTTTTGGACGCCCTGTACCTATGCTTTTTGAACATATTTTTATAACTTCTCGAAAAATCAACAATAAAAAAGTTTGCAACAGAGCGGTACCCGGGGACACACTGTATGGGATCTCGCCCTCGCAAGCTTGTCATTTA